CAACTTTATTAAAACAAATGCCTATAATATTATTTGTAAAAATTTTTATTATGCAAACTTTGCCTGTATCAATCTCCTTACTAGCTTTGAAGATACAAGATATATTATTAGAAATATCTTGGTCAAAAGACTCTAACTCCTTCCACTATCAATCAAGAAAATATATGATGATATAATCAAAATACTATTATTTGAACTACTGATACAAAACCATAATCACACCAAAGCCATAGTAGTAGCACTTCAGAAAATATATAAGTTTGAAACTTTGCCAAAGTCTTTCTTTGAAGAGCAGCTTATACAACTTCTAGAGGATCTCTTAGAACTCTACTCTTTAGTTAAAGATTTATTTCCAATCACTAACCAAGTGGCACTACCTCATCTTTCTGAATATCAATGCAAACTTGCAAACTTATACAAACTAGAAGACAAAATACTACACAGATATTTTAATTTACCTGTATTTAAACCTGCACTCACTTCAACCCCTCAACAGCTATTTTACAATTTGAGAAGCTACTTTCTATGCAACTCCAAAAATGCAGAAGATATTAAGAAATACACAAATCTTCTCTGCACTTACTATAAATTCAAATACTTACCTAATGATTATATAATTCAAAAGCCAAGACTCCTGGCTAATCCTAAAACAATAAAAAATAAAAACAACTGCACCTTTCCTATTCAAGAAAAAACATTTGCAAAAAAATTCCTAGCTGAAATAGAACAACACAAGTTTACACTACTCTTATTACCAAAGTACATAACAATAAACCTGACCTATAGTTGATCACACCCAAATTAGTCAAATGAACCTGACAATACCAATTACCTCATCTAAAATCCTTATTGATACTGCTAGAAAAGCCCAAGACAATGATAAACCCACAATTCTACAAAACTTAGAAGAACTAAAATTACAACTATTACATATTAACTCTACCATGATTCAATCAATTCCAATACAAGAAATGACAATGGTGACTAAAATACTCAAAAAAATTAAATCACACTTTACCTTTAATATGATATCTAAATATTTACTTTAGCTTTCTAATATACCTATCCCAGAATAGCCTATTTTTGATAACTACGAACCCACTAACCTCTATAAAACACATAACAAATTTACTAAGTCTCTCTCCAACACAACTATTGCACAACCTATTGAATACTTATTAGAGCCCACTACTAACAAAATACCAATCTCCCTACTAATGATTCTATATCACACACAACTATCTTAACAAGTACTACCTCTACTTCCAACTATCACCTATTATATAATGCTCTACTAACGAATCAAACACTTAATGCAACACTAAACATAAACAATCCCACTACAACTATGCTAAATATTTTAAATTACAACATACAGAGCCTTAACCAAACACTAAAACTATAGCTTCTTCTTGAATACTGTAACTCTAATAAAATCGATATAGCTTTCTTTACCAAAACAAAACTCGCTACATCAACTAACAACTCTATATCTTTTTTTAATCTCTCTACAAGATTTATATAGCAAATTGTAATCAAGCTAATGCAAATATTCAAAAATTCAGCAAAGGAGTTACAATTGCACTCAAACCTAATTTATAGTTCTATATACACAAAATATACTTATTATCTAGTATTGTCTTTCTGATAGATCTTCACCTTCTATCTAATAATAAAACACAGCTAATTGCAGTACCTTCTTTTATCAATTACACCACATATTTGCACTGCTCAACAACAATTAATTTTCTGAACTTAAGATGCTCAGTCACGAAATATAAACTTAATTATTGCTAGAGATTTTAACTGCAATATCCATCAGAACAACTTCTACAAACATAACCTCTTCCTCCAACATCTCGTTAACACAGGATTAATAAGCCTATTACAACAACACCATAGTACTTGAAGCAAAAATGACTCTCATAGCCAAATTGATAACATATGGGTCAACCCCAAAATCACACATGCCTTTCATACTCCCCAAATAACTAACTTCCTTACTATCACCAATAGCAACCACCAAATAATTACAACCTTCTGGCATACTGCTCCAATCCACAAACAACTATAATAAAAAAAACAATACTGCAAAATCTACAACTATAACTATATAACATAGAAATTATAGAAGGACTTTACTACTTTTATAACTACCTACTTAAGAGCTACTAACCATCACCAAGATCAAATTACAAATACCAAACAACTAAACAAAACTTTTAACAATTTTAACAATATAGTTAAACAGGCTACAAATAAATTTATTCCATACATCTTCACTAGCCCATATATTTTCTATACATATTCACTTAAAGCTAGCTCTTTATACTGCATACTAAAACATATTAACTATATTTTGCTAATACTCTTCCAGCCTACTCTCTTCTATTTAAATACAGTGAACGAACTTCCAATAAAAAAAGCACACTTATCTAAATCACTAGCCAAACTATAGCATCTTAAGATTTAACTACATACATATTCTCAAACACCAGAGGCTAACTTCTACAATTATGAAAAACTCTTTATAGTGCAAGAAATACTGAAAACAACAATCTAAAAAGTGAACAAATCTAAACCTTCATTGATAAATGCTATACCAACTTTCAAGAAAATACTTTTAGGATAATTGATAGCATTCTGTACAGAAATCGCACTCCTGTAACCTTCTACAATATCCTAACACCTTCTTCTATCTTGACTCACCCCCAAAAAATTAAAAAAACAACTATTCAACACTTTCATAACTGGATCAAATTGAACCCTATGATGATACGCTATAGTATGAATAAGAATAGTATTACAAACCAACCTTCAAATTTACTAAAGATATATACAGTACTACACACTCCTTGCATATATTGAAACAACTAAAGTCCAAAACACCATTGCAGCAACCCCAAACAATAAAGCCACAGAACCTTCAGCAATCTCTAATAAGATGTTAAACAAACTCTTCTTCAAACAATCTCTACACTCACAAAAATCTTTAATGTATGCATATTACTTCAAACTATCCTCTTTGCTTGGCACAAAGGCCTTATCTGGCCTATACCAAAAAAAGGCTACTACCCAGGAGATCTCTCAAAAACCTGCTGCATCACACTTATCAAACATATAAAAAAAGTCTTTACAAAAATACTCACCACATGACTTAACTCGATTCTTCTACAAAATGATCTTCTTGACTTAGCAAACAACATTGCACTCCTATTAACATTGACACTACAACTTATTCAACTTATTACACATCTTCATAAAGATGCACATATAAACAAGAAAGAACTTTGAATACTGTCACAAGACATGTCCAAAGCCTATGATACTATACACCTACCACTTCTTCAAAAAGCACTCCACAGACTTAGTATTCCATTATAATTCATCAACCTAATAACAAATATCTTTAGCTTCTGTCAAAATCAGATTATCACAACCTTGGCAAAACACAATCCAACAATGTTAAAGATGGAATAGACCAAGACAAAACAATCTCCTCCATACTTTGGTGAATATACTATAACTCTTTAATTTGCCATATCTCTAACTCAACACTTGGCTATACTGTATTAGCCAATCTACCTAACTTTAACCAAACACTTACTTCAACTACAAACATAATTGCTTACATAGATGACACCACATAGGTGGCTCCCAACCACACATTACTCAAACAGATACTTAATATTGCCACTTCTTTCTACCATATAGCCAAGATTATAGTTAACCTACACAAGTCGATACTCTTTTACAACAATCATAATGATTCAAACCCTATATTGTTTTAAGAACAACCAGTATACAACCTTCCTGCTAAACATACTTTTAGATTCCTAGGAACCTACATTGACCACTTGATCGACAACCATCATGTCATCAAAAAACTCAAACAAGACTTCTGTCCAGAACTAAATAAATTGAAATTCTTCAAAATCACCAAGAAACAAGCCATCTATATCATCAACTCAGTCTTACTAGCTTGTTTATGATACCAACTCTCCAACACCTATCTCAACTTATCTAATTGTCAATCTTTAACATGCCGCTACTCCTCAATTGTGAAACAAAAAGCCTTACTTGCTCGCTATACCCCTAACTCCCTTCTATTCCACCCTCTCACTTATGCACTAATCAATACCTACCAACTACAACAAACACACCATTAGTGCACGGCACAATCAAACAAAAATTTGACAGTCAAATACTTGTTAATACTTGTGATTAAGTCGGACATCAAATGATTGCAGATTAACCAATAGTATATATTTAGCTTTGGTTAATCTGCAATCGTTTGACATCTGATTTAAACATAAGTATTAACAAGTATTTGACTGTCAAATTTTTGTTTGATTGTGCCGAGCACTATTTAATAGTTGTAAATCAAATTTTTACATAATATATTAGACTAAAATTTTATAAATTGGTATTGTTTATTACCTTTTTCCTATATCTTTTTTAATAAAAGATCGATATAATGAATTTTTATAATCTCATTTAATTTTTGGTTGCTAACCCAGGCAAGAATATAAAATAATTTTTATTTTTATTAACATGACTTATGTGATAGATGTGTTTAATTCTGAATAGCATGAATAAAGCTTGCTTTAATTCATGACAAAGCCAATAAGTTAACATATCTTTTCTTGCACTCTAGATGCATCAGTTAATGATGCTTATTTGAAAAGGTATAAATCCTCAAAATATTGTGAAATTATTCAAATAAATCTAATTCCATTTATATATAGAATCACTACAGTGAAAATTCTTTCAATTCTATTGATAATAATTTTATTCTATATGATATGATGTGTGAAGATGATAATCGGCATGAATAATTCTTCTTTGATTGTCTTAAATTATAGAAAAACCTTTGATAACTTTTATCTTCCTTTATCTCAAGACCGATAGGAGACAGGCAACTTGAAATTTTTAATCAATCTTTATTTGAAAGCAAAGGTAAAGAAATTATTGTTTGACATGTTTTTAATGGTTGCCCAATGACTGGTTTTATCTTGGCCGCACTCGTATAAGAATGTGCTAAACAAATTAATGTTCATATATATGTACAGAATATTAATTCGTAATTATAACAAATTTAAATTAATTAGATTCAAGTATTGTTAATATTGATAATGCAATTTTGGATGTTGCTGATTCTTCCGAACAAGTACGACCTTTTATTGCTATCTATTTGCAAACTATCTAAATAAATTATTATTGAACTCAGTTAAATTTTTCAGTATATACAGTGAGACAATCGAGGAACAAACCATCGTATATGTTAATAATTCTAACAGGTAGGCATAAATACCTTCAAATTCATCTTATAAATTACTTGAAATTATTATTTAATTTAAATTGCAACAATGAAAGCTATATTTATCTATATATTTATCTTAATATAACACTACACTATAGATTTAGATATGATAAACAAAAAAGAAGACTTGAAAAAAATATCACGGCAGAAGACAGAAAAAAAATCAGAGTTGAAGAAGAGAAAGGAAGACGAAATAAAATTAATGTGGATTTTATTAATCTCGAAGAACTGCTCCCGGAAACAAACCAAAAAATGCATAAATCTACTATATTGAAAAAAAGATGGTGGTTATTTTTCATATTATAATTGTTATCTTCTATTATAAACCTTAAAATCGTAAAGCGAATCGATATAAAATAAAATTTCTATCGTACTGTCGAACAATTTTTTTAAAAAAAATAGAATCATAAATTTAATTGTAAAATCACTTTTGATTGCTTTTGCTATTTTGATTGTTTAGTTTCTTTGATTTTCTTGCTCTAGCTTGTAGCTTTTGTTTATTTTTTTAGTAAATATTGTTCTATTTCTGACTTTTTCCACTAGTATTAATTATTATAGTAATAGGAGACTGTTTATTTTGAACTGTTTGTTGTTTCAGCGGTAGAAAACTATTCGGCTCAGTTTGTTGAGGTAGATAATTATTTGGCTCAGTTTGCTGAGTTTGGGCTGTTTGAGGTAGAGAATTATTTTGCTCAGTAGGTTGAGAAGTTTTAGATTCGTAAGTTATCCCTAGATTACCAGTATTGCCAAATACTGAAGCTCCTAAACTAATTCCGATTTTTTTTTCTTTATTTTTGTTCTTTTCACTATTTTCATTTTTGGTTTGACCAGATCGGGGATTTCAATATCTTCATCTTTAGTTTGATTAGAAAGATTAATTTCAAAAAGTTTAGATTTTTCTTTTTCTGGTTTAGTTAATTCTTCATCTAACTTTTCTAAATTATCTAATTGTATTTCTAGTTTGGTAATTTCTTGTTGTTTTTCTTCTAATTTTCTTAGTTGATCAAAACGACCTTTATTAAGAAGGTAACTATTAGCTTTTGCTTTTTGTCCAGTAGCAAAATTAGTGGTCGCATTAAGATAATTAAGGCGAATTATTTCAGCTTGAGCATCCAAAAATGTTTCTAATTTTTCTTGGATCTCTTTTTTTTTTTTTAATTCTGCCTTTCATGTAATCATTTTCAATTTTCCGAAGTTTTAGTTTTTTTGCTTCAATTTTCTCAACAAGTTGTTTGCGAGTAATGATTCGTCGTATCAACTCATTCTTTTCGATTTTCAATTCATTTATTTGTTTTTCTTTTTCAATCAAATCAATATTCAATTTGTTTATTTCTTTTCGTAGTTTTGCTTGGTCACTATCTTTTTTTCTTTAATTGTTTTTCCTTTTTAGTTAGATCAGTTCGAACACCTTTTACTTCTTTTTCTAATATGTTAAGCTTTTTTTCATACTTAGACAAAACTTCTAGTTTTTGTTGAAGTTTTTCTAATTCTTTTGATTTCATTTGAAGCAGCTTTTCTAATTGTTTTGCTTCTGTTTCTTTTTCTTCCAATAGTACTTGAATTTGTTCAAGATCACGGCCAATAAGATTAGTTTGAGTAGATATTGTATAAGTTACTTTTGAATGAATTCTTCTCTCTTCTTCGAAACGAAGTGGGAATAATTTTATTGGTTGAGTTCGGCCTCTGATCAGTTTTTTTGGCTTAGGATGAGCATAAGTCACGTCGGGTAATTTTTCTTTAATAGTATTTTTTTCTTCCTCTTCTTCTGATTCTGAAACTATAAACCCCGGTAATATTATTCCCTTCCTCCCCTTCTGGTTCTGAAACTATGAATCCTTCTGTAATAATATTTTTTTCTTCCTCTTCTGACTCTGAAACTATGATTACCTTTGTCATATTATTCTCTTCTTCCGGTTCTGAAACTGTATATCTTTTTGTCATATTATTCTCTTCTTCCTCTTCTGACTCTGAAACTATACACTATCTTCTTCCTCACTATCTGCCGGTGCATAATTTTCTTCTTCCTCTTCTTCCGACATATCATTTTCTTCATTCTCACTATCTGTCAAATTTTGATTGATTACTCTTGCATCATTTCCTTCTTCCTCATCATCCGGTGGCCCTAAGTTGAATAGTTTTATCATATTATTTTCTTTCTCGTCATCTCTTTCTGCAAAATATATTTTTTTCATATCTTCCTTGTTATCTGTTTCTGTAAAATCTTGAAATAAGTTGGATGGTATTGTTTTTTTTTTCGTTTTCGATCAAGTCTTCTTTTTTCGTATTTGTCCTTAAAACATCTTTAAATACGTAAATCTTTCCATGAGGATTTTTTAATGACGCATGAGACTTAATTTGTTGCTTATTTATGCAAATTTATGCTACACAATGTTCGACCCAAAATAACACCTGACGGACACTAGCGCTAGGGTGTCCAGTTCATAGGCCAACATTCGTCTGATTGGCTGATGTAATCAATTGTCTGGGTAACTTATTTATACAGTTTAAAGTACTTTTCGAGAATGTTTCACTAATAAAAAATCACCGTAAAAACCATTTCTAGCTTCAAAAGAACGCTTATATTTTTATTGTGCAAAATAATCAAAAAATAATCAACATTCTCAAGAGCTTCACTTAGAAGAAAGTATTCCGCTATTTATTACTATACTAGTTATATATTATATATAGTGCTCGGCACAATCAAACAAAAATTTGACAGTCAAATACTTGTTAATACTTATGTTTAAATCGGATGTCAAATGGTTGCAGATTAACCAAAGCTAAATATATACTATTGATTAATCTGCAATTATCCCCTCTCCTTCTAAAAAATCACATAATTTTCTGCACTCCCCTTATTAATAACAGCTTTCTCTGAAAATATAGTTTTCTACTAACTAATATCAACAACTTTGTTCAAGTATTTATCTGTATGTATATAACTAACAAAACACTAATCGGTATAATCACAGAAGATATCTTAACCCATACCTGTAGTCACAACAATGCTATCTACTCAGCCCCAGAATTACATCATACAATTTTAACTGATATATATAAATCAATATAGATACCAAGTAGAATCACAATAAATAATAATAATATTTAGAATAATGCCAATACTACTACCTCTTATAATCTATATATAACAATTTCTGATCTTACCCCAACTCCAATATAGATTGCAAATTCTACTCCTAGCAGAATTCCTATATCAATTTTAACACTCCACCACAACATATCCTTAACTCATAGTCTAGAGACTTTTAACCTACCTAGCTAAGTTTAAGGTCTAGAGTAAAGTAGCTCCATCTCTACTTTTTCCAAAAAATTATATAAACTTACTTTGTAAAAATCTGCATAATAAATAATAAAAGAACTAAGAAAAAGACCTCACTTAAAAAAAAAAAAAAAAAATATTGATAATATTATCTGACCAAAACAAACAAACAAATATGAAAGATAATCCAAACAAACAAAACAGTATAGAAAATAAACAAAACAAACAAACAAGTGTGGAAAATAATGTAAATACCTTAAGATTCCAGATCACAATTATAGTAACTGATTATCACAACATACCTAATCTATTTCTGAACCTTACCCAAGACAATTTCTAGAACCCAGACTAACAACTATCAACTCTTAATGTTTTTATACAACAAATCCAAACAAAAAAAAATCTAGATGATCACATGGACACCTAATCCAATACACTATCAAATTACTTACATCTCTAAAAAAGTCATATAGTAGTACACTTACTTTCAATCTTCCAAAAAAGAAATACATTAAAGATGACTACTCACTTACCTAGTGCATCTTGGTTACTATTGCACTAGAAAAAGCATGTATACAGAATTTTGATACAACAGTCTGGAGCAATTATACAATGATTAATATCTTCTCATCTTCTAAGCTACTTTTAAAATTTTTCTAATACAAAATCCAAACCAATCCAACTTAATACAATCTACCAAATGCAATTAAAACAAAATTCAAATACTTGGACTCAGCCTTCTTTTAATTATTTATAAGAAACAAAGAAACCCAACCACAATATCAAAAAGAATTCAACTTACTTTTACAAATAGCAGTAGAAAGATACAAAAGGCTACATAATGTTTACTTTATAAACAAGTTTAATAGAGATCAAATCTTCTCAAAACTCAAAGCTAAACTAGCTATGAACTTTATATACAATATAAACTTCCTTACCAACAGCTCATACAATTACTCAAATAATAACTTACTGTCTTAACTTTGCACAAATAAACTGTACTCTTAGTTTTAAAAAGCTATATAGTTTAATTAACAAGGCTCACTTAGCATTACTTATTCCATTACCTCAAAATTTACTTAAGATTGATCTATTAATTTAACAAATTCTTCTCTTTCTACTACCAATTCAAGAATACAAACTTATTTAAACAACTGTGTTAGCTTTATAAAAAATTTTTACCTTTGAGAAGCTTCCTGATAGCTACTTTTTCACTGTCCTTGAACCACTTTCAGATAATCTTGCTAATCTCTATATTGAAATCTAAGACCTCTTTTTAATTACAAAATAGGCTAGATTGCTATTTTTCTCTAAATACTGCTCAAAATTAATAAAATACTATATTGTAAAAAGAATACTTCCTAATTATTTCAACTTATCTGAAGCAAAATCCTGGCTTCTCAAAATCTTACTTTAGCAATTCACTATCTGTTTCTTTACAATCCAACTGATGCTTCAGAATTTTGTAGATATGTTAATATTCTCAAAGAACACTATAGCTTCTAATACATTTCTAATAATTTCTTTATACAAAAAAAATCACTTCTAACAGATCCATACTCTATTAAAACAACTAGAATCTATAATTTTTTGATTTTTGATACTCACCAAGCCAAAGAATTCATAGCAGAAATCCAAGACAAATATAAATTTAATATTCTACTTCCATTGATCTATATAACTATTATTCTTATAAATAAACCTTCACTTCTTAGTAAATCTAACCTTATTATTGAAGTAAATTTAACAATACCAATTAGAAGCCTCAAAGCCCTGGTTAATACTGCTCAACTTTTAAGAGAATACTATTTTTTCTACCAAATTCCAAGTGAATAGATTGAGATTTATATTACTCTAAATACCTCAAAAAAACTTTCATTTCTATTTTAACTTTCAGAAATTACTTCTTATCTAGAACAAACAAACCTTTATTATATAATTCAAATTCTAATGACTAAATATGAAAAGATTAAAAGTACTATTGCAGAACTAAAAAACTATTTTAACTTTCAAAAAATACAGTACCTTCTTATCTCTTTAATGTCCCTAACCTACCAGACTTCTACTGGGATATCTTAGATAATTACTCTCCACTATTATAAACAAAAATTTACAAACCAGCTCACCACCTACCAGTTTTAACTCCACAGCTTCAAATATATCAACCTCCTCTCCCAATCTCTCATTACCACATAGCAATCTACCTTCAATTATGAAATTTGATATTTATAAATACCTTAACATAGTTACTTACAATATACAAGAACTCACCAATTTACTCAAACTTTAAGTCTGGCTTGAATTTTGTACAAAAAACAATTACCATTTTGTTTCTATAACCGAAATTAAACTAAAAAACTCAGATTTAGCATCTCTCACTAATCCATATTATAATATATATATATCAAATTTTTTACCAAAAAACAAAACACAATAGAAAGCAAGTCTTGGTACTGCAGTAGCATTATACAAAGCATTATAGCCTTATATTCACAATATTTAAACCTTTCTAGACACAGTATTATGTATAGATTTCTATCTACCTTCAAATAATAAACTTCATCTCATCTTACTCTACTTATATTCCAACCACCCTAACCAATCAATCTCAATACAAAATACAATTACAAACTGGCTACTAGAAGCAAGACACAGAAACTGGCATACCATCACTTTGAGTGATTTTAATAACAACACAAAACATTGCAAAAGAACTTCAAAACTCTTTTTTACTTTACAATTGCTATCTTCTGCAAGCCTTTTTAACTTTTTTGCTATTACTGAACCTATTTGGAAACATGGCTTACAACAAAGTCAAATTGATGATATCTGGGTAAATCCTAAAATTGTATTAAATTTTAGCCCATCTTTACTAATCGATCTAGTAGAAATTACTAATAGTGACTACAAAATACTGTTGAACCTCTCTAAATTAATCTTCTCAAAACTAATAACCTGTCAAATCTGATAAAAAATTAGTTTACAAAGTCTGTTTCTATTATATAAATCTAATAGTTTATAATATTTTTCAAATCCAATAACTTCTCAAGACTGATACAAAATCAGTCTACTATATATATCGGTTTGGAAGATTCAATAGTAATTCTAACCATCTGGAAAACTACAATCTCAAACTTCCAAGATCAAAAAAAAAAAAAAAAAAAAAATTTATCTTTATAATCAAATAAATTCAGATACTTGGCAAGACTTTTCATATGCTATTGAAAAAAAGTTTAAAACTCTAAATATTTTATCCCCCTGAAAACCATAACCAACTTAACAAGGACTAAAACAAATAGTTAAATACAATCAAGAAAATTGCTAATTAGAAAATCTCAACAACACTTAAATATTCTAAAATATTTTATGCCTTCTTTTCAAAAGCAACAAAATTATACTTAGCACTTAAAACAATCAATAATGCACTTCATATTTTCTGTTTAGTTTAATCTTCAAACATAGTATTCTTTACTATACAAAATATTAATACTTTTTTTACCAAAATCAACTTTCTAACAAAAATACAGACTACACTCTGCCAACTCTCAGATCTAACTTAAAACTATATACATTTTTTTACAGAGCTAAAGAATCTAAAAAATACAATATGAAAAATACAAAATATTGAAACAAAAGCAGCATAAAGAGAAAAAATTAATTTCTATATACAATGATATTATAATGACATGGAAACAAACACTTCAAGAATAATCAACAGTATACTCAATTGAAGAAAAATAAATATTTCTTATAATAAAATAATTATCTCTAACAAAATAATTACAAACTCAAAGGAAATAAAGCAAGCAACATAGAATTATTTTAACAATTGGATAAAAACTAATCTGACAAATCTAAATTTTGAATATTTCTTTTCAGGTATCTATAATGACTTTACCAAATCCATAACTC